GCTAGGGTTTTACCGAAGAAGTGAACAAATTAGAGTGGCTGAGAAGAACCGCCTGGAATGTTTGACCCAGTCCTGAGCTGAAGGTAGGGCCCTAAGTAATACTTCGCATTTCTCCCAGGGGAAGAGCCGGGGGCTGTGGTGTCCTACTTGCACATGACTATAAATGCTCCACAGATTGAGATTCTTTTATCTGCCATTTTTCCTGCTCAGAGGACCTTTTTAATATAAATCACTGTAAGGGCTTCAAGACTTTAGACTGACTTAATATATCTTGAGATGAATCCCATCAAACATTAAATCATTTGCACGATTCCATCTAGTTAGTTTGAAAACCAGGACCTAGGAGCCCCATCTAGAGTGCTTTCCACTATTCTTGCGCTTCCGTGCCAAGTGTTTATTTCACATTAGTGGCTTAGGGACAGCCCTTCCCTATGGATGTATCTCAAGGCAAACAACAGTTAATGTAACTGAAAACTGGTTTTAAAACATTATAGGTTTGTTACAGCCTATGACACAAAGATTTAAGATCTAGAGCATTTATAAAAGATGACTGAAGCAAGATGTGATCTTTCTTTCTTTTCCTTTTCCAGACTCGGGAGGAAATCCACAGTCTTCCTACTAAATCACATACCCAGTCCTTTTTATGCTTTATTTTTAAGACATGGTTTCACTAAGTCACCACATTGCCCAGGCTCAAATTTATGATCCTCCTGCTTCAGCCTCCCAAAGTACTGGGACACAGGGGAGCTAGAATTTTTCCTGTCTTCTGATCACAGAAGTAAAATAACTGCATCACTTATGAGATAGCTTAGCTTATTCTTAGTGCCACTGATAAAGTTCCCAAATAGTCATTAAGAAGTGTGTAATAGTCATTACACAAGTGAACTAACTTCTGATACTTTTTTTTTCCCCAGAGGGAAAATTGCAGACCTCACCCACAGCCTGGACAGCATAGTTTCTTGCAATGAAGAATCAACACTGGGTTATTTCCAAAGATTAAATCTTGAAAGCCCACTGGGAGGCTGCAGCAGGAGGGCAGAGATGTCCACACACTTGCACATGAAAACTAGTCTTCCACTAGGAAATCTTCCTCTTCAGCTAAGGCCCTGGAAGTAGTGAAGAGAAAGGGCCCCTTTCTGACCAAGCTCATAGGGATGTATCAAACAGGGTCTATTTCTGCAAGAAACAGAGCTTCACAGGGCAGCCAGATCATCATTTGTCGCTCATGTCACCCTGCTGGGTCTGTCACCTCTGTGTGGGTGAGGCCCAGCCCAGAGCTCCTGATGTGGAAGCGGAAATGCTGCCCTGCTTCACTCACGAAGCGGTGTGTACTGTGTGTTGCCGTGGCCACCCCAAGGATGTGGCTCCTTCCTCTAATCTGTCCTGAGTCACCTTGTATGGGCCAAGGCCAGTATTGACTGTCCCACCCTGTTCCCCACTCCTGTCCAGAGTTATTGTCCCCACTTTGGTTGAATTAAAAATTCCCGTGAACTAATTATATTTAATGTCAAAGATGAAATATTTTATCAAAGTTTTAGATAATTTTATAGATGAAAATAAAAATATTACCATTTATGTGAAGTGTATATGTATATATAAATTGTGTGTGTGTGTGTGTGTGTGTATGTGTGTATAGTTGGATATACATTTCTATGTATCAGAAGTTAGAACAACCTTAAAAAATAAAAGAAGTCAGGACAATTTAAATTTGGTAAGTGTTTAAAATAAAAAAAGCTCTTATGCGGTTTGGAATCAGTTTTATATATGGATTTCGGGGCTTCACAGAAATATGTACTATTTTATTCCATTTCAACAGATCGCTATGAAGTGCCAATCACTGAACTGAGCGATTTGTATGCAGTTAGGAAAAATGATACGACACCCTGCATCTACCTAGTAATCTAGTAAGGTGGACAGATGATAAGGTCCCAAATAGAATTGCAGCTGTAAAATATGACCAGAACTATGAGAGAGATGCCAAGATGGAGAATAACAAAGCAGATCTATTTCCGATTGTGTGACTGGTAATAACCTCAAGTGAAACCCGAGAAGTGAGTTGGAAGGAGTTTGTGAAATGAGTCCACTCCACCATTTAAAGTATAGAAGCATTTGAGTTCAGAATAAAATTTGATAAGTTAATGGGAAAGTATAAATTAAATCTGGTAACAAGGAAAAGAGAGGCCAGTGGCCAAATCCATAGTGTTTTAGTTTGTAAACCGCAAGGAACTAATGATGTTACATTTGTGTGTTTGTCATTTGCTTTTGCAAGTGTCCTTCTTTCCTCCCTCATCTTCATCCATCTTTGTCTCTTCCTTTAAGTCCTGGCTCACCTCTCATTCTTTTCTAGGAATTTTTCTAGTTGGAACACCCCTTCAGCCATGGCTCTTCATTTGAGAAACATGTATGTACTGTGTTTATTTTCATATGTGCATTGTTGACAACATTGGTTTTCATTCTCCCATATGTGAGTTGAGTACCCATGGGGTTGTAAACTCCACGAAGGCAGGAATTACGTTTCCTTCTTTGGTCTGGCTAAGTCTAGTTGAGACTCCCGGTACGGTGGCCAACGTCTCGACAAATGCTGGTGAAGGGGTGATCTTCTTTGCCTTGACACTTTTTAGAGGTTTAAAGCTGAAGAAATATATATATTATAAAAACCTTTAATTGTTAAACAGATGGGAACACCCAGTGTGACGTGCACCATCCAGGAGACCTTCGCACTGCCGTTTGAGGGCTCAGAGCTTGAAGGGCAGCTGACAAACTCAAAGAACAAATACACATCTTTTAAAAATTAAAGATTGGTTGTAATTTTAGCATACTCACACAATCGCCTGCCTGCTGAAAGGAGTTTATCCATAGTTCTTCAGTTTTTCTTTCCAAACTCAGCACTTGCTGTGTGCCAGACTGTGCTCTGGGTGCTGGGGATATAGTGGTGAACAACACTTCCCTCATGGAGCTAGTTTTCCTGGAGGGGCCCTACCGAGTGTGTCAGATGTCAGTGCTATCAGAAGAGGAATTGGGTTGGGTGAAATACAGTGGCACCTCAGTACTTGTTTATTCTAGGACATGCAATGAGCACCAAAAATTACAAGAACCAAGCACATTGTTTTGGCCAGAAAAGGTAGTGAGTCAAAGGCATATGATGCTGACAAATTCTAGCTTGCAAGGCAAGTATCAAATGAGTACTAGGACAGAAGTTTTGTGGCAAAATGTGTCAAGTGCCAAGTTCTGTGAGTCTCAAAGCAGTCGTTTGTAAACATTTCCAGGAAAGGTACCTACTGAGTGGATACTTGGGCATACATGAAGTAAGTGAGTGCGCAGATATCTGCAAGCACAGGGAACAGCGAGTCAGGATAAGAAGTATGCTTGGTATGTTCAGGAATTAGCAAAGAGGCACACATGACTGGAACAGGATGGGTGACCAAGAATGAGAGCAGAGAAGTACCCAGGGCCCAGATTGTGTAGGATCTTGAAAGGTATTCTATGGATTTAAGCTTTCACTCTGACTGAGGTTGTTTTCAGTTAGGGGTCCTCTGGCTAGCCTGTAAACTGTTAACTATTGTCACAGAATGAGTTAAGTGGAAGGAATTGGTTAAATGGGTAACAAGAGGCATGACAGGCAGCTGCTCCTATCCCTAGTTTCTAGGGAGCCAGAAAAATTGAAGAAGGTACAATCAGAAGCTCCTGGTGAGCCCTTGAGGAACTGTGGAGACACTTGCTGTCCAGTTGCTCTGGTCCCTGAGGTGCTGACATGGAGTTAATGGGAGGAGACCTGGGAGAAAGTTGGGTGCTAGAACCACGTGAGACAAATACCTTGAACTAGATGGCTGGAAACAACAGAAATTTGCTGTCTTATAGGTGTGAAATTAAAAACCTAAAATTAGGTATTTTTTTTTCCCTGAGGGATAGAAGGGAAACTATGTGGGCCTTTCTTCTAGCTTCTAGAAGCTGCCACCATTCTTTCCCTTGCTATGTAGGTAGTGTTCTCTCCGCCTTTCCTGTGTGTGTGTCCACCTTCATGTACAAATTTACCCTTGTTGTAAGGACAACAGCCATATTAGGATGCACCCTAATGACTTCCTCTTAATTAGCTGCAAAGCCCCTATTTCTAAATAAGTTTAAATCCACAGATACTGGCAGTTAGGAGATCAACGTCATCTTTAACACAAACGAAGAGGTTAGACAGGCATACTAAGGTGAGGGCAAGGAGCAGGTCACTTCTCTCTTCTTTTTGCCATCTAGCCCTTTTATAATGTTTTCTTAAGCCAGGCGTTTCTTCTTAGTACTGCTTTGGCTACATCCTGCAGATTTTGAAATGTTTTCTCTTCATCTTTGTTCATTTGAGGTACTTTCTAACTCCCTCTTGAGTTCTTTGACCCATAGGTTATTGAGAGATCTTACTTAGCTTCCAAATAATTGGGGACTTTTTCTGAAAACTTGCTGTCATTGATTCCAAACCAATGCCACTGTTATTAGGGTGTTATCTTAGTCATCAACAGAGCTCTGGAGACTCGAGAACCCACCTAAGATGTGGGCCTGGACTTTCAAAAGAGGCTACCTTGATATTGGCAGGTCACAGAGCCTGGACCTGTAGCCAGGTGTGTGATTGCTACTGATACAAGCTCAGTCGTTTCAGACATGACTAAAAGCCAACTCTAAGGCTGTCTGGAAGGAAACTCAGGAAGGTGCCATCTGCTGTTCTAGGGGTTTTTTATCTAGCAATAAATGTTTTTAGTTAAATAAGTATATGTAATGTGTGTAGAATCATGAATAAGATATAAATAATATGTAGTATCCAAATGTTTTTATAATGAATTAATTATAAACTAAGTATAATGAATTATGAATGAATCAACTCTAAACAATTAAATTGCATCCATTATAGAACTGTATACAGCTACAATTTTCTTTACTAAATATCAGTTTCCCATAACACCTGAATCACCCACAGTACTGTCAATTTTGAAGACATTTTCCTTAAATGGAATTGGAGAGTAAGTTAATGGGACCAGAGAGTGTTCAGAAATAGCACCAAGTCACAAAAGAGTGGAAAACAGTCTCCATCATGAAATTACCCCATAAACAGAATGATCACAGCTGAGATGACTTAGTAATTAATGGTTTTATCTACAGAACAAACTCATTTGTATCTCAACACTATGTAAATGACATGAGAAAGTATAATACCTTACCTATGTAAACAGCTAATAAAATATGGAAAACAGGATAAGTTCACAGACTTGAAGCCCACATCACTATAAATTGATTAGTTTCATGTGTATTAGGTGTTTTGGAAACTCAAGATTAATTTTCTGACTTGGACTCATTAAGATCACCCTGTAGAAAAGTTTAACTCCTCCATGAATATCTATTTATCAATTAGCTAAATGTGTGGCAACTAAGCCGCCAGAACAGATTATGTCAATGAGGATTTATTTATGATTGAATGAAACTGATTTTTGCATACTAGACCTTCATTTCTAGATGTTTTTAATTCTAGGATAATGTAAAACTATTAAGGCTTGTTTATTCAAAACAGGCTACCTTAATCAAGATAACTAATCCTCAAAGATACTAAGCTGCACTCAATTTTGGAAATTTGACGATCTAGCAAAACATGAAATGGGAAAGATAAGTATAAAACAAATCTAGTTAGATCAAATAAAAATATGTTGTCATTTAAACATTGTCAAATAAACATTTAAAGTATCACCTAGAAATAATTGTTCTGAAGAAAATGCTATATTATAAAAGTATTTTGTAGCTTAAAATGTGGATTTGCAAGTGTACTTGGCTATTTGGTCTGGAAGGGGACATACTTTTCTGAACACGTGCTCTGACAAACTGAAACAAAAAAAACTTAGCCTTTAAAATTTTGGACCAAAGAAATTGTTAAATTTATGGCAACACAATGTCAGATTTCATATAATATGATATAATTTAAATTTACTTGTATGATGTGGTTCAAGATAAGAAATTCTGCCTTATTCTAAAATCCATGAATTACACATATATTTTTTTTTTATTTTCAAAATGTGTGGTTTACTTATAAAGAAATTCTTGTTATTTTGTTGGAAAGAGGTCAAAATTTTATGTTCTGCCCAAGGGCATGAAATTCTGCAAACAGTTGCATTTATTAATGGTTGCAAGCACCTGGGAATTTTTTAGACATTACAGATTATTTTATATGCATAAATTCAGAATAAATGTTGAATATATGGAAAGGTTTTCTAACTTTAAAATCTATTTGTGTTTCACAAGACCAGAAATTTTTTGAGAGTCAAACTTTTGGCATTTGTCTTTGTTTACCTTACCTTATATGTGGGGATTTTTTCTATTTAAAATATCAGAAAAAAATATATCTGCAGACGAGGTAGCTCTCAATGTGTATTTGGATAGTTATAAATTATCCTCCATCAGGATTCCATATCCTTTAAAACACATTTTTTTTTCTTTAGGGATGAAGAATTGCATTGTGAGTTTTTCCATGTGAGTATAAACCAAAAATATATTGAGCCAGATTTTATTTTCCTTGTATTTGTATAAAATTGTAAGAATGTTTGGGAAAATGGGTCACAAACAAGGTATATGTTACACTAATACCAGAGCAAAGCTCCTCTGTTGTCCTTTTGATAAAATCCATTCAGAGTAGAGATCTGATTTCATAATAATTACCAACTCAAAAGCACAATTCATTTGTAATGAATACTGAAAGATTTTAAGTTTTATATTGAAATTTTTAAAAACAGTACTGTCAATTAAAAGATATGATTCGAGGAAAAATACTAAAAATAATTGTGTCCTAATTACCATATATACATTGTTTATTGCTTTTAAAAAATAGCTTAAAATGATTAGTAAGCACCTGCAGAAGAATAATTTTATTTGCTTCTTGAAAAAAAAATGGGTCTACACATGAGGTTCACCCAAAGCCAGCGCTACATCTGGAGACATGACATAGTGCTGAAACAAAGTCTTTGCTTTCAGCTGGGAGAAAAAGACCTTTCTGAAATGTTCTGATCTTGTGAGGAATGGATGTCAATTTAGTATCTCCTAGAAAGGAGTAGAATGAGATCTTATTTTGAATTTTAGTGCTGCCTTCTCTAAGTTTGTAATCAAGCCTTTTCTCCTTAATATGTTTTCTTCTTTGAAATTGGGATTTTTCTATTTTGTCCTTTTGGGACATAGTGAACTTCTGTTTCTACTGTGTTATTCTTTTATGGCTGATGGGCTCTTTCTGTTGTTGTTTTTCAGTTTCTTCTAAGAACTTTCTCTCTTGAATCTCTTTAATCAATTGTTTTTGTGAAACAAGTTTCTCCAGTGAAAAGTCAGCAGGAAGGACTATACCTGACCTTTTACTATATCCTAGGTATCCATAGGTTTTACAGCTATGACCTCATTTAAATATTTGCAGCAACTACAATGAAACTTTATAGGTAAACAGAAACTCAGTGAGATTATAAAAGTTATTGTGGTCACTTAGCTAGTAAGTCACAGAGCTATGCATAAACACAAACATGTTCAGAGACCAAACTCAATCTGTTTACTATGGTGTTTCCAAAGAGCTGGCTTGTGATGACTGTGATCTTAAACACAGATGTCTCACTATTGCTCTCATGCTCTGGTTATCTGTCTAATACTATATCTTTCTTTTTGCTCTTATTAGTGTATGTCTGTAATACATAATGGTTATGTTCATTACGGAGAAATGGTATATAACATATCTTGATTATTTTCAATCCTTTTACCCTTTTCCCTGATGCCTTCCATCTTCTTTATGATTTCCAAAAAAGACTGTCTTCTTATTTTCCACCATCTTTCCTTTATCTTATTTATTTGTTTATATTTTAGATTTCTAATACAAGAGAAATCATGTGCTATTTAACTTTCTGTGTTTGACTTAGTTTCTTTTTTAAAAAATTTCACTCAACATTAATGGTTGCAAAATCTATCCTTTTTCTTGCAAATGACATGATTTCATTCTTCTTTATGGCTAATGTTCATATACATCTATGAGATACAGACATCTATATGTGTATATATATATATATCTTTATGGCTAATGTTCATATACATCTATGAGATACAGACATCTATATGTGTATATATATATATATATATATATAATTTTCTTTATCCATTCATCTGTTGACAGGCATCTGGCTGTTTTCATGGCTTAGCTGTTGTGCTTGTTTGTTTGTTTTGGTACCAGGAATCAACTCAGGACCTTGCACTTTCAAGGCAGGCAGGGTGCCTCTGAGCTAAATTCTCAGCCCATGACTTAGCAATTGTGATTCCCCATGCTGTAAACATGGACATGCACAGGTCACTACAATCACTATAGTATAACATCTCCAACTCTTTGGGGAATATATCCAGGGGGGCATAGCTGGGCCAGATGAATTTATGATTTTTGTTTTTTGAGGAATCTCATACTTATTTCTATAATGGTAGTAGTTTACATTCCCACCAGCAATGTAAATGTCTTCCTTTTCCTCACATCCTCACCAGCATTTGTTGTTTTTGTGTTCTTGATAACGGCCATTCTGACTGGATTAAGATGGAATCACAGAGTTGTTTTGATTTGCATTTCCCTAATGGCTAAAGATGATGAACATTTTTTTCATGTATTTAATTGGCCATGTGTTTTATTTATTTATTTTTTTTTTAACCAGGGATCAAAATCAGGATCTTGTGCTTGTGAGGCAGGTAGTGGAACCACTGAGCTAAATCCCTGACCCCGTATTTCTCCTTTTCAGAAATGGGTTCATTTTTGTCCATTTATTACTGAGTCATCTATTTTGGGGGGGGTCAATGTTTTTGAGTTTTTTTTTAATATATTATAAATATTAGTCTTCTATCAGAATAGTTGGCAATTTTTCCCCCGATTCTATGGGTTGTCTTTGCACTGCTGATTGCTTTTTTTTTCCTCTCTGCAGAAGTTTTTAATTTGCTATAATCCCATTTTAAAAATTTTGGTACCAGGGATCAAACTCAGGACCTGTCACTTTCAATGCAGGCATGATGCCACTGAGCTAAATCCCAGCCCTATATTGATTCTTGATATTAATTAGTACCTCTGCTATTGAAGCTCTGAGAAAATGAAGAATAATGGAAACAAAGTCTTTGTAGATAGGGAGGGAGGGCTTGAAGGGAGGGAAGGGGAATGGGAAAAAAATAAGAATCAAGATTGACTATGTGAAGGTACAAATTTCCAACCATGAATGTAATTATATTGTATACACTAAATGTACCAATAAAATTAATTTATAAAAAGAAAAAAAAAGCTTAAGCACATAGATATAGGAATGTTGCTTGATGAAGAACCAGAATGTCCTTGCCTGCGCCTACAGCTTTAAGTATTTTCTCCTGCAGTATCTTCTGGGACTTTCAAAGCCTTTTTTTATATATAGGTATTTGGTCAATTTTGATTTGACTATTGTACAGGATAAGAGATAAGGATGTAATATCAATCTTCTGCATGTGGGTAACCAGGTTTCCTAGCATGGTTTGCTAAAGGGATTATCTTTTCTCCGGTGTGTGGGTTGGCCCCTTGTCAAAGGTCAGATGGCAGTAGCTGCATAGATTTGTTTCTCAAACTGACTCCATTTTCCGCATTCATTATGTGCTTTGTAATAAAACCACAAGCCTAATGGTATTTTAAAAAGAAACACACTCATTTTCCCACAATGTCTATGAATTAGAGATACAGACTTGGCTCCACAGACTCTGATTGTTGCTCTACAGGTGTTGGGTGGGCATCAGTTGCAGCCAAGGTGATGCTTGTGAAGGATTCCGTCCTAAGCTCATATGATTGTTGGTAGCACTCAGGTTCATGCAGCTGTAGGATGAAGGATTCTGTTTCTTGTTGGCTGCTATCCAGAGAGATCTTTAGTTGCTTGTTACATATCCCATAGAATAGGCTGGGTCACAACCTGGCAGCTTGCTGCTTCTTCTTCTCCAGCAAAGAATACTCCTTTCAAGATGGCCCTTACAGTCTTACATCATATAGTCATGTGTGTGAAGTCGTGTACATCTCATTCCCTTTGACATATTTAATTGACAAGCCACAGGTCCTGGCCACACTCAATGAAAAAGGATCCCACATATAAATCAGCACCAGGAATGCCAGGAGGTGGGCTTCTTAAGAGTACCCTAATGTCTGCCTGCCACTTCTTCCTACCTGTCAGGGCTCCCTGCTTAACATTTCTGCCGTGCCTATTCTTGTGCCTCATGTTTCTGTTTAAGTTGTTGATCTCTCTTCTTTTTCTGTTTAAGTTGTTGATCTCTCTTCTTTTTCGTGATGTGTCAGTCTCCTCCTGACTTCATACTTTTCATTGTCCTTTTAGATTGGATTTGTCATTTTCAATAGTAGACAATAGTACTTGGGGCTTTTTTTTTTTTTTTTTGCCTTTCACAGTCTTCTTTTTCTTTAAAATTCATTAAGTTTATCAGTACATTTTAGGTATATAATACAGTTACATTCATCATTGGGAATTTGTACCTGTACATGCTTTATCTTGGTTCTTAAATTTTCCCCATTCCCCTGCCCTCTCTTCAAACCCTGCACATTTCCTTATTTACAAAGGCTTTGTTTCCATTTTTTTCTTTTCTAATATTTTTTACTTTCCCTTCTGGGAAGCAATGTGACTTCTTCAAAAAAGGTATAAATGCAAGCATTCGCTTTTACCTTCCTTTTGCTGGCTTGTCAATCCATTCCAATCAGCCTTGTAACTCCAGTGTTCCACTGAAATGGTTCCTGTGAATTCTACCAATGGTTACCATGTCCAAGTATTATAACCAAATAATACTTTTCAGTTCTCATGTTATTTAATGACTCAGCAACATTCAATAAAGTTGAACACTGTGGTTTTAAAATATTCTTTTCGTTTTTTTTTTTCATATCAGGACACACTCCACATTTGTATTCTTCTGACTGCCTCTTCTCAATCTTCCTAGGTAGATTCTCCTTCTTTATAAAACTATTAAGTATTGTGCTGCCTGTGAATTCTGCCCAGGGTCCTCTATTACCCTCATTTACAATGCTCTCTGTCTAGGCAAGCCTTATCTGCTCCTGTGTGACTTGCATTTCTATCACTATGTCAAATAATTCCTAATTTATATATGTAGATCTGCTGTCTCACGGAGCACCAGAATCATAGCTTTTGGATATCTCTACTTTAATATTTCATGAGCATTTCAAATTCAGTATTTTCAAATTTAAATGAACAATCTTCATTCTGTACATCTCCACTTTTGTTGTCTATTTCTCACACAAATAGCACTATTATTTATCAGTTACCTGCTCAAGTCAGAAACCTATGAATGATTCTGATCATTGTTCTTCCTTATTCTCTATTTTTAATCAGTTATCAAATCCTGTTCTTTATACCTTTTAACTAACTAATCTGTGTACTCCTTGTGTACATTGAAACCATATAAATTTAAGTCAGATCACTGGAAACTATTCAACGATTCCCCACCTGGAC